TGTGTGTTGAAAACTTCTTGAGGAGACGACACCTGTTACCTTTGCCTTGCCCCATGATTTTGTTTGAGAAATGTCATCCAGCCAAGAAAAGATATATGTGTGCTCTTCATAAAAACTCCTTCCATAATAAAGGTGTGTGTTGAAAACTTCTTGAGGAGACGACACCTGTTACCTTTGCCTTGCCCCATGATTTTGTTTGAGAAATGTCATCCAGCCAAGAAAAGATATATGTGTGCTCTTCATAAAAACTCCTTCCATAATAAAGGATAATTTGCCTACGCGTCTGCCTTTCAGTGCCAAGTGATTAATCCCCACCTTTATTCACAGGGGGAAAGGAGAGGGAGAGGAACCTAGCTTTCCAACCAAAGGGACCTGGAAGGGGGCCAAAGACAGCTTGGCTGGAGGCATGCAGGTATACCTGCCGTGTCATCTTTCATCGCTGTGCCCCGATCATGCCCAGAGCTTTACTGGTGCTAAAGAGTCTCCCATCGGTCTTGGGATTTTATTTTATTTTATTTCATTTCATTTTTTGGCAAGACCAGGGCTCCCCTTCAGACAGACGAGTAAAGAGCAATAGCAGACCTGTTCATGGACAGAGTGCCTACTGCCTCCACGCTGAGCAACAGCAACAAAAGCATATGTATTTGGGATTAATGGCTAACCAAATCCGAAGCAGAAGGCATGGACTACAGGTAGGCTTAAGTCCCCAACACCTTTTGCTTCAGGAATGAAGAACTGAACCTATGAGTTTGGGGTGTCTCCTGGGGAGGAAAGGCAACATGGGCTTTAGCAACTCCAAAGGAAGCTCACATCGAAGACAGCAATGCGTGTGTAATGTGCTGTCCTGTCAGAATTAACTTACACTAATTGCAATAGTGCTTTCAAGGTGCGTGGGATATTTAAAGATTGGTTTTAACAGTTCTAACCGCCGCCGCCCCCAATTGAGCTTCCGTGGCCGAGTGGGGATTTGAACCCAAGCTTCCTCAGTCCGAGGGACGTGGTGGCGCTGTGGGCTAAACCGCAGAAGCCTGTGCTGCAGGGTCAAAAGACCAAGCAGTTGCAAGATCGAATCCACACGACGGAGTGAGCTCCTGTCGCTTGTCCCAGCTCCCGCCAACCTAGCGGTTCAAAAGCATGCAAATGCGAGTAGATAAATAGGGACCACCTTGGTGGGAAGGTAACAGCGTTCCGTATCTAAGTCGCACTGGCCATGTGACCACGGAAGATTGTCTTCGGACAAGACGCTGGCTCTATGGCTTGAAAAACGGGATGAGCACCGCCCCCTAGAGTCAAACACAACTGGACAAAAATTGTCAAGGGGAACCTTTACCTTTACCTTCCTCAGTCCGAGTCCATCTCTCTTGCCCACTCCACTTCTTTGAGTTCCCAAGACAAAAATACTTGACTGGATGAACCAGTTTTTTTTTAAAAAAATCATCATCGTTGTTGTCATCCTCATCCTCAATTTCCTCCTGTTCCTCTTCCAATGATAAGTAATGGTCTTGGATCAAGAGACCAACATGTCCTGCATGTTCAGGAGCAGGGAATGGGTGCCGAACTCAGAAGATTAAGACAGGCCATAAATATTTCTCAACCCACATGGTCCTGAGTCGTGAGGAGAACTGACTGAAGAGGACCTTGGACTTACTGGGCATGTGCAAGAAAACAAACAAGGAGCGGAGAGCGGAGTCCCTGCCAAGCACCGTTTTGGCACCTGCAGAGGACCTTGGACTTACTGGGCATGTGCAGGAAAACAAACAAAGAGCGGAGTCCCTGCCAAGCACCATTTTGGCACCTGTGCCAGGGGAGCTTCTTACCGATGTCAATGCACCTTTGTTTAGCTGTATGCTGCCTGGAGTGCCAGTACTTCCAGTGCCGGAGCTGATCCTCTCTTGTTTTGTCTTCAGCAAATACGACCATGATGACACTCTTCAAAAGGGAGCAACAAAGAAAGGTTGACCAGAGGGGCCCTAGGCCACGTCCCTCAGGGAAGAGAGGGGGAGAGGTGGCATTTACACTTGTGGCCTAACCTCCTCACTCCCCACTTTTAAAAATAATTTCACGCTGTGACGTGGACAGCACTGCTTATAAGTGGAGCTAACCTGTGGTTCAGCCCTCTTAGTTGGCATCTCCTTGGTAACTCTGAAATCTCCACACCCGGATGGGTGGGGAAGATAACCTCCCATAATGGGAAGGACGTCTTGAATTAGCAGCAGCTCTCCAACAACAAACAGAGAGGACACGCAAGGCAGGGTGCACACATAGGCATGTGTGTAAATCTATGTGTGAACAATTTGGCAAGAATCCCAACAACCGGCAGATTCCAAGCATCACACAATAAATCTGCTAGCAGTGCCCTGGCTTCCTATCCGCCACCCTCTGCCACTGGGCCCACCATCCTCCTCTACCACCTAGTTTCTAAGGACACAACTCACTCGAACTTTACTGATGGGTTGATGGATTCCTTCCCCACCACTGATCTCCTTCAAGGTGATGGGATAAAACTGGCCCTTGTTTAAGTAGGTCATGGTATTGTCTCCTGGCTTCTGTCGAAGTGATTTAGAAGCTTCCAGTGTATATTCAAAGTTGTTCCTGGAGAGTCAGAAAGGAGGGGGAGGAATTAGAAGGCAATTACATCTGGAAAGAACCTCAGTTTAGCAGTCAATGGACTGTATGAACAACACATACAAAAGATAACAAGACAGGCCACTGCCTTTCTAAAAACAATAGAAAAGGCCTCTCTTCTCCTGTTATGGCCAATTCCTATGATAATTACACCCACCACTCCTATTCTCCAACAGAAGGTATCCAGAGATGTAGTGCCTCTGATGCTGGAGTCAAGCGATAGCTGTCTTGACTAGTAACCAGGCACAGGTGCTGTTTATATGATTTATACCTCGCCCTCTATCTCAGAAGAACTAGCCAAAGCAGCCTCATGGTACAGTGGTTAAACTGCAGTACTGCAACCAAATCTCTGCTTAGGACCTGGGTTCAATCCCAGCTAGCCAGCTCAAGGTTCAACTCAGCCTTCCATCCTTCCAAGGTTGGTACATTGAGTATCCAGCTTGTGGGGGGAGAGGAGAATGTGTAGCCTGAATACAGTAATTAAATTCTAAATTGCCTAAAGAGTGCTTTAAGCACTGTGGGACAGTATATAAGCAGCACGCTTTTTGCTTTCTCTCAGCCTGCCTTAACTTGCAAAAGTTATGGGGATACAATGTGGTAGGAAGTGTATGTTGCCTTGATCTAGGCAATGATGGCAAACCTTTTTGGGCCCGAGTGCCCAAACTGGGGGGAAAAAAAAACAGTGGGCAGCGGCAGAACTGGAAGTGGCGGTGGAAGGAGGAATCCCAGGCATGGAGGTGCCTCAAGATCCCACTCCAGATCCGCCACCAGCATCAGCTGCTCTGGATCCTAGCCCACCACCTCTTGAAGCGCTAGGACCACAGCTGCAGCCACCTTCTAAGGGTTGGCTGCGCAGGGGGGAGTAGCGATCCGGCAACTTATGGCTCGCGTGTCTGCGGAAAAGGCTCTGCATGCCAGCTGTGGAATGCGTGCCATAGGTTCTCCATCGCTGATCTGGGTGAGAGAAAGCTGGGCTATAAATGTGTGTGTGTGGGGGGGGAACCCAGCTTCTAGCTTGCCAAGCCCGACAACATTCACTGGGACTTACTGCCCGGTAACTTTAAAACTATATTGCAGCCCGAGTCCTCCAACATGATGGAAACCTAGGTGCGTTCAGACCATCAGACTCCAATGGCAAGTCCACATGGTCCACAGCTTCCCAAACAGTTGGACAGGAACACCCAGTCCTTTCCACTGAGATCTCCCTTGCTTCATTTCACAATGTATTTCTAATTATTTATAGTATATGTCAATAGCTTTTAAATGTACAGTGTACTGTGTTTTTAGTTTTACATGTTTTAACATTGTGAGCTTTCTTGCATGCCTTCCTTGGAAGAAATGCTGCCTACTAATTGTGCCAAAACAGCGTTTCCAAGCCGGAGACGAACCGAAATGGAGGCCTTGCCCTGAGGCATCAGAGAGAGAGAGACTGCTGGACAACAGCTGCATGTGAAGGAGAAGACATTACCCAGCAATGCTTTCAAACACGTAGTCTTCAGAATTCATGCTGGCCATTCGAAGATTCAACTCGGCAGGGAAAAAAACCTAGAAATATTAATAAACCTTTCAGACACTAGTGGCAGATTTGAAAGAGGCTGAACTCCTAAATTAATCATTAATAAACATTTTTGCCCGTGCTTGGAAACAAGTAGTTAGGATTCATATAGATAACCTGTAACAAGTTACTCTTTTTTCATAATAAGGATGTCATGAAGCAGCATTTCAAAAGTGACATAGTAGGGAAAACATCACTAAATCTTGGTGGAGTGGTGTATTTTGGAGGACAGGTGTACTGGTTTCTAATTACTTTTTGAGATCATTTTACGACACATTTTGAGTGAGATTTCTCAAGTTTTTTTGTTTTGCCCTTTTCATATCAATTCTAAGATTTCCCCCAGGAACAAAAAGGATCACATAAAATTATCAACAGATTCTTTTGAAAACACTGCAATAAGTAACAACGATTAACTACTTGTCTTCACAATGTAAAGCATAACTGCAACAAATGACATCAAATAAGTGTTGGCAACCTCTTATTATGTGCACTAAAACAAGATGGCAGGGAGCACTAGGTGACGCAAGAACGGCCAAGCTGGAAGGGTCTGTTTTACAACGGTTATGATATAAGGTTGCACTGTCATAATTCCTGTCCCCAAAGATTTTGTTTCCTAGGTAAAGGGCACCGAATATTCTGCCAAGATTCCAGCTCCACAGTAAGGCAAGCAAAACCACAAAAAAGCATGCAAGAGAAAGCATTCATTTGCACACTTTAGTTCAAAGGCAGGTTGTCGTTCTTTAACATGGTGTTTGGATTTCTTTCAGGAACTAGAAAGAAGAAGTCAAAAAAGAAGCTTAGTTCCACCACAGGTATTTCAATTAGGTACTCAGATGTTTAGAAATGTTCGCACTTAAGTTCAGACACATTTTTCTTTTTCTGTGATGTCTTGAAAACAGACCCTTACACACAAAGTTCGGGGTATTTCTGCCTTGCCTGTATTATTACCAAACATTCAAGCTAAAGGAGCATGTCCTGTAAAATGAGCCATGTGTTCTCGTGAGTGATTTCGTGTTGTATAGTAGTTGCTTTTGTTTTAAATTTAGCGTATTATACCCATAGGATGTTCAGAGACAGCTTCTATTTCTAATCCACCGGACTGAGATTTCTGGTTTATGTAAGAACCAAATAGGAACCTGATACCAAATAGGAACCTGATTTCAAGACAACATCACAGAAAAAGAAATATGTGTCTGAACTTCAGGGACATGGTGGCGCTGCAGGTTAAACCGCAGAAGCCTGTGTGCTGTAAGGTCTGTAGATCTGCAGCTGTAAGATCGAATCCACACGACTGAGTGAGCGCCCGTCGCTTGTCCCAGCTCCCGGCAACCTAGCGGTTCAAAAGCATGCAAATGCGAGTAGATAAATAGGGACCACCTCGGTGGGAAGGTAACAGTGTTCCGTGTCTAAGTCGCACTGGCCATGTGACCACGGAAGATTGTCTTCGGACAAAACGCTGGCTCTGTGGCTTGGAAACGGGGATGAGCACCGCTCCCTAGAGTCGAACATGACTGGACAAAAATTGTCAAGGGGAACCTTTACCTTTATCTTTACCCATGCACCAATGAGGGAGAAGAGACAAAATAAGAGGGGCTGAGGGGGAAGTGGTTCAATTGTTACTTAAATATAGGGCTGAAGGTACTCCATGCTTTTAAAAATATCAAAATTCAAGGTATCTCCTAACCAGCAAAGCCAGTGAGCAGGACAGCTCAGACTACATGTTCCGGCCTGGAGGTACCTCTGGATTCATCACTGCTAGTTCAGGGATTCTGGGGAGCTGTAATCTGAAAAATGTCAATATCTTAGTTCTGCCCTTGTTTTACATACTGCTGTAAGCAAAATAAACTGGCTGCAGCCGTACCTCTTGCACGCCTTCTTTGAAGGACTCTGAGAAGGTAGAATCCGGAGTGCGCCGCTGGGAATTCTGAGTCTGGGCGCTGGAACTAAACTGGTCTGCACTGAGGGTTCGGTCTAAAACCACCACCCGATCAGGGGGGGCTTCCGAGTGATAAACGGCTGGAGGAACGCCCACTGTGAAGCTGTGTGGCTGTGCTTCTGTCTTGATTGAATGGGCAGGCATGGAGGCCACAGAGACCGTGACAGTCGTGTCCGAAGTCGTCAGGTGGCCCCGCTTGTCCACACCCATTTGGGAAGTGTGCGGGAGGACAATATTCAAAGGCATATTTTTCAAGACTTGCACTCGGTTTTCCCCAGGAGAAATGAGCGACTGTTCCGTCATGTTTGGTATACTGTTCCTAAACAGACAAAGAGATGTGGTCAGGTGACACAGAAAAGCCTTGGGAGGGGGCATCCATTTCTAAACCAAAAGTATAGGACCTCAATCCTGCCTGGTCTCATTCTGTGTCCTGGAAGGATTCCCATACAGCGGTGCCTCGCTTGACGAGGCTAATCCATTCCAGCGAAATTGCTGTAGAGCAAAATCCTCGTCAAGCGAAATAAAAAAGCCCATTGAAATGCATTGAAAACCGGTTCAAAGCATTCCAATGGGTGAAATACTTCAGCGTCCAGCGAAGATCCTCCATAGGGCAGCCATTTTCTGATGCCTGTGCAGCGAAAAATCCATCCTGAACACAGCGCGGAGCCATTTTGAACAGCCGGCGGCAACTTTGAAAACCCGATGATCAGCTGTTTTGATCGTCGTAATGCAAAGAATCGGTTCCTGAAGCAGGGAACCAATCATCATAAAGTGGATTTTGCCCATTAAAACATCATTTTGCGATCACAATAGCGATCGCAAAAACATCGTCGTGAAGCGGATTCGTCGTCAAGTGGAGTAAATCATTAAGCGGGGCACCACTGTACTGGCTTCTGCAGAGCTTGGAAAGGTTAACGTTCTGTACGATGGTTCCCAGAATCTCCCTACCCAGAATGGCCAGTGAAGAATATGAGGTATTTGTGAAGATTCTCAATTATCCAGTTCAGGTTAGCTGAAAGTCGAGTCATGGCAACTGGGCTTCTTTCTTGTCAGGTTGAAACATTTCACTACTCATCCAAGCAACTTCTTTGGTCTGAGGAGAGTCGGTAGGAGATCCCTGATATAGATATCCTCCATGTTGGTTATCCCCTACCAACTCTCCTCAGACTGAAGAAACTACCTGGATGAATAGTGAAACATTTCAACCTAATAAGAAAGAAGTCCAGTTGCCATGATTCAACTTCTAGATAATTCTAGGTTTTGTAACTCTTCTAAACATTGCATATGGAATGTTTAGAAAAGTAACTTTTCTAAACATTCCCTATACAAGAAGTCTAGTTTGGATTCTAAGGATAATAAAGTCTTCACATGGGAGGACTTTAAAATAGTTTTAGTAACTTCCATGGTGAACACAGGCATTTTCATGTATCGAATGCCAGAGAGGCTAGAACCCATAACTAGAGATGGGGGTATTCGTATTTATATACGAATATCCCTGCACAGCTGGTTAACAAGGGTCTGCTCCTGGGGCTGGACTGTCCACTCACACATCCAGTGACGGCCCTGCTCATACTTCCAGTCACTCCACAGCACCTTTCTCTTCCTGGTCAGCTAGCCACTCCTGGGAGGGAGGATGAGTCTCCCTGAAAGGTTGCCAAGTGGGTAGCTGAGCGGCGCTCCGGAGCAATTGGAAGGAAGAGAGGTGCCACCATCATCGCCACCAGATGGGTGAATGGATGGTCTGGCCCCAGGGGCTGGACCCTTCTTAACTCCAACTGAGCAGGCTATTCCTATTCATATATGAATACCCCCATCTCTAGCCAAAACACATTCATTTTGAACCCTATCCTTCACTGTCTGTTTTGCAGACAATGCCAGTTAATGTCAACTAGTTGTTTTGAGTGTCATTTATTGGGCACAACTCTCTTTCAGGGCAACTCATCCTCCCTCCCTCTGAGAAGAATTTTAGCATGTTCATGCCTGCTCTCTAATGTTATCTCCTTCTAATTGGGTTGGCATGGGTTAATCCATTTTTGGCTATCAGCCAAGCTATCCAGAACTGTCGTTCAGTGGTCTTCACAGTTCCCTGGACCCCCCACTGCAAGCCACCATAAAATCAGCCTGCTGAGGTGCAACCACTGTTTTCTACCCTAGGCTGAAGCCATCCATGTGGGCAACTGAGTCCTTTGCAAGGGATAACCAACAGAGAATTATCTTTTCAGTACAAGTGTCCTAGTTCCATCACGGAACCCCACCCAAAGAAAGCTGCGCAATTTCTCAAAACCACATCAGTACAACTGTGGGCTCAATGTTAAATAGGTACATTTTCTGGGATTTTACACAATGAGATGGCAGGCAGTCACTGGAAACCGACAGGTCATGGGACCTGGTGATGAGAAGGATCCAATCTACTGTAGGAAATTAATCCAGGCCTCCTAGATGTGTAAAGAGAGGTGTTTGTTCTATCCCAAAGAAATCCCATCTTCAGAAAACAAAGACATATATCCCCGTAAGGGACAGTTCTGCCAGACCAACAGGAAACGTGCCTCATTTCACTCCATAGGCACTAGAAGACACTGAACAACTACATGTTTAAGAGTTACCTTGCATGTGCTCCCATAGAGGTAAGCAGACCTGGGCGAAGTGCGGCCCTCCAGATGTTCCTGAACTGCAAATCCCAACATTCCTCACTGTGTGAGCTAGGCCCAAATCTCCTCACTACTGGCTGTGTGGGCTAGGAATTATGGGAGTTGCAGTTCAGCAACATCTGGAGGGGCCGCATTTTGCCCACCCCTGAAGGTCTATCAATCCATCCGAACAACTGGGTGGTCACAATAGTCAAAGGGGAGTAGTGACTTTTAAACTACAGTACCCAACAAGACTCAACTTTGGGGCTATTAAGAAGACAAGATCTGAAACTAATCCAATCCCTCCAATTTTAAAAAGAAATCTTTCCCAGACCGAGTATGAAAAACAAATTCTGAGTTAATTAAAATGTCCTTCTTTTTTTTCTATAGGAAGATAATGGGCATGCCATGGCTTTTTCTTTTTCTTTTTAAGAAAACATTTCAGTGCTGGATACTGAACCTTTTGCCATGATCCTGATCCGAATGATCGACATCTGGTTTCACTGCTGAGGCTCTCCGGGGAACCTTTCAAAGTAGAAAACAGACAAGTAATTAATTAAAACCAAGCACGTTTTTCATGAATGTTAAGTATAATCAGAGCAGAAAACAGGGGAAGATAGATACACATCATCCATTACAGATAACTATTAAAGTCAGAGGCATCCAGCTTGAGAACAGTTCTGTTTGCTACCAAACTGTAACTCCAAGTCAAGATCTGATTCCCCAAGCCTGTAAGTCAAGCTCCAAGCACAATCCTAAATCTGATTCGTAAAGAATTCTGTGGCTTAGAAAATCCTCTGTTGGGTTTTGTATCAGGCCCAACAGAGAATTTTCTAAGCCACAGAATTCTTTACAAATCACATTTGGGATAATGCTTGGAGCTTCAGGAATCAGAGCTTGACTTGGGAGTTACAGTGCAAAAAAAAAGAGCAACTTTTCAAAGATCTGGGCCTGTCAAAAGCACTCTGTAGAACACTATGATTTTAACTTCTCCCTGTTATGTTCCTCATAACATTTTACTTTTAAGGCACCGCTTTCAGTTCTTTTTATGATAGCCTGTGAAAAAGATTGCCATGAATGCAAATATAAAAATTAAATCTTAAATATACAGTATTTTAAAACAACAACAACCCCAAAGGAAATACACACAAATAGCAATCAAAATTTTGAAGAGACCTTAAGCTGACAATTTGTACCATAAATACTAAGATGTACATCAGGCAGTTTTAACCATTTTGAACGTTAGGGTGAAATTAGGCTGTTGTCCTACAGCAACGAAAACGGCTCTATCAGCAATATCTTTGCATTCAAACACCTCCCCCTTGCACATACAAGTCATTAAATGACAGTGGAAACACCCTCTTTAAGCAAGAGTAGTTAGAGGTTGATGACACCATTTTAAAAAAGCAGGAATGCTATGCAAAATAGATTTTACACCACAAATTCAGCATATCAGGTGCAAGGCTCTCTCTCTCTCTCTCTCTCACACACACACACACACACAGAGAGAGAGAGAGAGAGAGAGAGAGAGAGAGAGAGAGAGAGAGAGAGAGAGAGAGAGAGAGAGAGAGAGAGAGAGAGAGAGAGAGAGAAAGAGAGAGAGAGAGACTTAATTTCGTATAGGATGTCTGGGGGCATCAGGAAAACACAGACTGCCAAATAAAGAAACTGCAAGAAGTACTTTGTCCAGTTGCAAGCCAACCATGGTACATCGTAAAGGGCTGTCACTTTCAGAATATGACTATTCCACCATTCATCTATACATTGTAGGAACTATAATTATGAAGATATAAAAAGCTAACTCAAATTATGCATAAAGACATAAAATAAAAGACAATAAGGGCGGTTCTAACAGATGTTGGGCTTGTGAGCAGGAGTCATTTCACTGGAAGATGGGAAAAGGCTTTGGTAACACCTACTGGTTTTCTCTAGCAGTACCTCCTTAATTTGACAGGGAAGAACCCAACTAATGTTTTGCCAAAGTAATCTTTCTGTATGCTTTAAAAACAAACAAACAAAATTTCCACACAGAAAGCAAGTTCAATTGATTACAACTTGGTTTTTTTCCTAAAGAAACGTCTGAGGCATAAGGGCTGGATTGTTCAGGGATGACGCCATGTCAGTTAAAGGCTCCCACACCCCCAAATGCTAATCTAAACCACTCTCACCCCACACAGCTTTCCTTTGCAAGTCTTTCATAAGTGGGTTTTTTTTTCTTACAAGGTAAGAGCTGAACAAGGTGACATCACTGGGTCAGACCAGTACCCCCTCAAGTCCTGCAGCTGGTCTAACAAGTTTTAGATATTTACAATCAGCACACACTAAAGCGCAGAGCTGCCTTTGCAGATTTTTCTGGAGACAAGGAGACACCATTCCCATACAGTTGTGTTGTTTTGAAGACTGGACAGGTTACTTTTGTGGACCACTACTCCCAGAATTCTCCAACAAGCGTGGACACCAACGCAGGGACTGGCAGTTTTACACAGACAGATTGTTTCCGTGCATTTGGGCTGGGGGCCAAGCTTTCACTCCTACACCAACCCATCCTGAACCGAAAAGTGGCCAAACAGCTACAAAGGCATGGCGATGCTGCATTTCTCAGAATGCCTGGGATTTCTGTGAGAATGGGGTGTGCTCCCAACAAGGGAAAAAATAACCCTCTTGTGACTTGCAGCAGATCACATCTACAAGTGTTGCAATTCTGTACTGAGTACTTGTAGCCAACATACAACCGTCCATGCAGCCTCTCACCAACCCAGCACCCTCAAGATGTTTGGGGCCATCATTACCACCAGCACCCGTCAGTATGGCCAATGATCAGGAGTGGAGCGTATCAGAGCGTGGAAGGCTGCCTTAGAGCAAGGCCAAGGAAGGTTCCTTGGGAGGCCTTCCTCTGACATAACAGGCCAAAAGGACAAGAAAAAGCCATGTGAACTTGAAAATGGTTCTGTCTAGACATGGCTCTTATTGATAATCTGTCACCTCATGGTTTCAAATTGTCATTTTAAATCCAGAAATGGTTCTACTGCACAGGGCGGAGAGATCATGGCTTTCCAGATGTTGTTTGGCCCATTATTCTGGGCCCATCATATCAGATCATAGACCATCCTTAGGTTCTCCAGCCATGTTTTGCCAGCTCCTGCTGCATCTGGCAGGTTGGAACGCAAGAGTACAAGGCCCCATCTGGTCCAGTGTTTCTCCATATGTTTTGGACTTCAGATCCCAGAAGCCCCAGCCAGTTATGGTGAATAGACAGAGATTCTGGAAACCAATGTCACAAACATGTGGATAACCAACAGCTGAGAACCACTGGCCTTGGCCACCAACGCAAGTTGACAATGAGATGCCTCAGAGAAATCCACAAGCAGGACTTCAAGGCAGTAACAGCTGTCTTCTCTTGCTTCCAATTCTGGTCCTGAGAGCCATGCTGAAATCTATCATCTGGAGGCTGTTCATAGCCATTATAACAGCCCACACCTTGGAAAAGTTACTTTCTTGGATCAAATCTCTAATGACTTTCCCCCTCCAATGATCATGCTCCCTAATGGCCGCTTCTATCCCCATACACCTCCACCTCATATGCTAAGTTTGCACTGTTAAAATCATTTTGCACAGCATTCTTGCTTTTTAAAAATACTGTCATCAACAGTTGCTGATAGTGTCATCAACTACTGTTGCTTAAAGAGGATTATCCCACTATCATTCCATTCTGCAATTTAACTAAGTACATGTTGTATGAAGTGGGGGGACAGGGCAAATATTTCTTTTTATTAGCTCTGCATGTCCTGCCCCTTGGCTTCACTAATGGGTGAGTCCATACCAGATGACTATGAGACAATTCAGTTCAGGCAACCAGCCTGTGCTGTTTTCACTATCACCTCAAAGTCCGACACGTTTTCAGAGAAATGACTGGTGCAGGTGATGATGAGAGATGACAAGTGAACAACGACAGCACTTCCGTATTATGAAATTATAAGTTGCAATTACCATGGTAAGGACATCGCAACCCAAGAACTCAAACCAGGCTCGTTCAGTTCCACAAATGACAATGAAGTTTTCACCTCAGGGGCATTCAGATAAGTACAACACTTAAATCTAGTTTTTAAAGCAAAAAAATATTTTTATTTTCCTGTCTCACTAATATGCATACATACACATCTCTAATTTTCATTTCATTTTATTAAAGATAGCACCCAGCAACAAAACATACTAAAGTGTGTGTGTTCTGTGACATCAAGTTCGAACTGACTTATAGTGGCCCTAATCCAGCTTTCAAGGGAAGTGAGATATTTAAGGAGTAGTTTTACCAGTTCCACATTCCCCACCCCAATGAGTTTTCCATGGCTGAGCAGGGATTCAAAATAATAGCTGAGGAAAAACTCAAATGCCTTCACCTATTCGAAAGAGACATTCTGGAACAAATTGCTCAATTATAACTTGAAAACGTACCCTAATACACTTTTGTTTTTATTTTAAGCCATTTCACTATTATTTTCTCATTACACTATTTGCAGCTTCTATGAAAACAACTGGGTTCCCAGTGTAGTGTAGTGGATAGAGCAATGGACTAGGACTCTAGAGAACAGGGTTCGAATCCCTACTCAGCTGTGGAAGCTCACTGGGGGAGCAGAACTGGTAAAACCATGCCTTAAATATTTCACTTACCTTGAAATCCCTACTAGGGTCACTTTAAGTCGGTTCCAACTTGACAGCATATAACACATACATAACTATATAATGTTCTCCACAAAATAAGGGTTCAGCCTCCCCCGCATTTCATTCAGATCTGACTGTCAACTAAGCAGCCCCAACACCCAAGGAGTGATGTACCTTGTAGTAGTCATATAGGAGACCCAATGCAGCAGCACTGTCTTCATCCCCATTGATGCTCATCATGGCTTTGGTTGCCACAGTAAGTGGATTTTCAAGAAAGGACTTCCAGGCTTCATCCTCACTGGTAAATGGCCGCCTCTGAGAGTAAAGGGCTTCATTCTGGAGAACCAAGATTGGCCTTTTGCTTGAGAGAGAGAGAGAGAGAGAGAGAGAGAGAGATCAAACAAAAGGTGATTATACAAGTGTGCATAATATCCATGCACGTGCCTTAACCACTTCTAACCTACATTAGGGGCTGTGGTCATCCTCCATTCCGGTTTTAGCTTCACAGAAGACATTCTGGAAATTGGCCTAGAATTCTGAAGTAAATTCCCAGAACACAGAGCAGGCAGCAATAAATACATACATTCTGGACCTACAACACTTGAAGCAGTGTGTTGGGCTGGCCTTATGTACCAAAACAACAACACCCTCTGCTCTCTTGCTCAATCCCAAAACACTCAGCCTTGCATACTCATGTGGCGGAAAGGGCAGAGAGAGAGAGAGAGAGAGAGAGAGAGAGAGAGAGGCTTGTCTTATTGGCTACTCAGAACCAAGGAACAGGGAGTTGAAGCTCACGTAATACATGTTATCATTCTTATCTCCTTTTTTCTTTTCCCAAAAGCAGAAACCATCACTTGCAGAACCTCCCGATTTTAACTACGGTTTCATAACCCAGATTGACAAATTGTGATGCATGTTCAGGGGAAGGAGAGCTCGGTTTTAATTAGGCTTCTCTTTCAATATTCTTCTTAGCATTATACTTACAAATTAAAGGCTTTAAGCAGGTTAAGACTTGCCTAGATGTATAACTATCATTATCAAGTCAGATGACTAGTCCATTTAACTAATTGATTTCTAGGGTTTTCAGACTGGGATTTGAATGAGCAAAATAAGGGTTTTTATCAATGAGCTCTGACATTCCCCATATTTTACCCCAAAGCTACAGATAGAAAAATTTATATAATAGTCTAAATGAGGGATGGGATTCATATGGCCCAAGTACCACAGCCTCCTCCTAGACATCCACCAGCTAACATCTCCCTCCCTCCACCACCACCACCCCAAATATCAGAATAGCATTTTCTGGCAGGGGAATGAAGTGCAACCTCACTTAAAACTACCCCTCAGCCAGTCCACTCCTGCCTTCCCTTTTAGTAGAGACCACACAAGTTAGAAAAAAAGGGGGGGAGAGACAGTGTGTACCCAATTTTGGTACTAGCGCACAAACACAATACAAAGATGTGTGTTTCCCCCCCACAAAAAAACCTGGGAAGGGCTGTCTGATCACTTCTGTATTAGCATGGAGTGAGAAGTTGCATGAAAAATGGCCATCAGAGTAAGATTGCCAGATACAGTGGTGCCCCGCATAACGGGCGCCCCGTTTAACAAAAAATCCGCATAGCGATTTGTTTTTTGCGATCGCAAAAGCGATCGCATTGCGATCTTTTTAATGGCAAAAAATCGCTTTGCGATGATCGGTAAGCTGTTTTGCTTACCGATTTTCGCATAGCGATGTTTTTTCTAACAGCTGATCGGCGGTTCCAAAATGGCCACCGGAAAAAAAATGGCCGCCCGCTGTGTTTTCACACCCTTTCCTTGCTTGCGTGGATTCGATCTTACGACTGCTTGGTCTTCTGACCCTGCAGCACAGGCTTCTGCGGTTTAGCCCGCAGCGCCACCATGTCCCCTTCACCACTACGTCCCCTTGTTTAACGTGTTTTAATGCATTCCTACGGGTTTTTTTGTTCCATATAGCGACGAATCCGTATAGCGATGATTTTTCCAGAACGGATTACAGTGGGGTCTTGACTTAAGAACGTCTTGAGTTAAGAACATTTTGACTTAAGAACCGCTCTCATAGGAAAATATTGACTTGACTTAAGTACTTAGATTTGAGTTAAGAACTGAAAAACAACCACGTGGGAGGCAGGGAAAGTGCAAAATTTGAAGTTTCAGTTAACTGTTGGCCAGTGAAAAGGGTGCCTGTCTGCTTCCTCACTCCTCCCAGCGTTTAGAGAGTGGATTGGGAGACAGTCTTCGGACTGCCTGGTACTGTACTGCCTGGACTGTATTTTCCCTGCCTTCCCTGAACCTTTCTTGACCTAAGAAAAAAAAGAAACAAAATATCCCCCTCTAGTGGTCGAAGGCGGAATAGCAGCTTCCCATTAGTTTCTATGGACGGAAAAGAGCAGATACGGATCAAATGGTTTTCAATGCATTCCTATGGGAAATGCAGATTTGACTTGAGAACTTTTTGACTTGAGAACCGCCTTCCAATACGGATTAAGTTCTCAAGTCAAGACCCCACTGTATCGTCGCTATGCGGGGCACCAGTGTACATGAGTACCATAAAGGAGGACATATAAAGAAAAAAAAGAGGACAGAAGAGGACGTATTCAATGTTTCATTTTAATTGTTCTGGATTAAACCCGCAATCAATACAATTTTATTACAAGAGCTGCCAATAAATGTCTCTTAGTGAACCGACCAAGCAACAGTCATGTTAAAAAATAAAAATAAATTCAATGGAGGCTTTTTTCACAATACCAAAAAACATTATTTAAGCAGCCAATTGTACCCAAAACCACCCCGGCCTGGCTGCGGGATCCCCCAGCTGCTCGCACTCTGCACAGGCTCAGAGGCAACCTTGCTAATCTGGACACCCAAACAAGGCTCCGGCTCAGGCAGGGGGAGAGCAGCGCTGGGCAAAGCTGAACGAGGCAGCCTCCCCTCCCCAAGGGTCATAAGTTCAAGGCTGGGGAGTGTGGGAGTTGGGAATCCCTGAAAGGGACTTTGAACACGCACAGTCCAGCACTCGCCTTCCATCAATGCACTTGGCCGCTGCTTGCTTCTGCCTGGCTCAGCTGGCGGTGCTCTGCTCGTGCTGCCTTTCTGGGCTCCACCTGGGCTGGGCGGGCATGGCGGATCGTCAAGCAGCTGCTGCCATGGCAGGAGTGGGCGAGGGCTGCACTCCAGCGCCAGGTAAGGGGGGGCAGGCAGGTGGGGGTGGGGAAAGACAGGGGGAGGGGGGTCCTTCCACCTCTCTCCCTTCCATCCAAAATTATAACATAAAATATACAAAAGCCTGACATTTTAAAGGTTTTTTATCTTTGCCTGCCGGACAGAGGACATTAGGCTAAAAAGGAGGACACGTCCTCCTTCTGCCTGATATCTGGCAACCCTACTCCAGAGTTTCTGAGCTTGCCCACCCCAATTTCAGAATAAATCTGAAATTGAATATTATTTCAGAATAAATCTGAATCTTTATCATGGAACTGACTTAATGTACAGTAGGACCCCCCATATCTGTAGGGGATATGTTCCACGATCTACCGCAGATACCTGAAACTGTGGATACAAAGGAACCCTATATAAAACATACAGTGGAGTGGTGCAAAGGCCATAAGGGAGCAAGACAAAAACCATGGGGGGCGCCCTTCTAGGTTGTATAGGGTTGTGGCAAACTGTGGATAAGTGAAACTGTGGATACCAATCCTGCAGATTTGGGGGTCCTACTGTACTTCTATAAATACCAATTTCTTCTTGTTAGAGACACACAGTAATACCACTGCTTTATAAATGTTTTGTCATCCTTGTGAGCCAGTAAGATGATGTTTTGCCATACTTGTGGCCTACAGTGGCCCGGACCTAGTCTCACCTTGTCCAATTACATATCACCAAGCAAAGAGGACAACAGAGTACACTGATCTGCATAAAACTGTATATGCCAATTCATATGTACAGCTGCAAAGTGCAAAATTATACATTATTTTTATAATCTAGCCCAAATGACAGTGCCTCTCACCAAAGAGGGCAGGATTGTGACCAGAAGATCTGAGTGCCCACTGTCCCATTACTGCTAGCTGTACAAGACCATCTCAAGATCTGTGGCCACCCTCCTTCCTCTTTTTCTGAAAACCAGACTCGAAGAGGTCTTCAAACAGAGGACACTTAAAAAAAAAACCCTGACCTCTTGTTTAAAAGAGGGCTGAATCCTCCATAAAAATGGTCATGTGGCCTCCCTCCCTGCCAGAAACATCTAGAGTAAAATAGATTCAACCAACCATACAGCAAAAAACGTATTCCTTCGCAATTTACGTACCCCCTGCACAGAACAATATTGAAATCAATACCAAACTTGTTATACAACTCATGCAGTCCAGAAAGGTAATACTGTACAAAACTCAAACGTTCAAACGAAACTTTTCCTTAGCAGGATCTTGCTATGGAATAAAAACATCAACAGCTCATCTGCCTACTTAAACACACATATATAAGCCTCTCAGTGTACAACACTATGCCCACCAGCAGCAGTATCCAGAAGCTTACTTTAGCTTGGACTCAGTTGGAGACAAGCTTCGGTATCATACGAGAGTCACAGGTATGCCTTTCAGATTCAATATGTCCAAGCAAAATGTTTAAAAGACTGCTTGCCAGAGTCTGCCTAACATGTACATTGTCTACCAGTAGATGAATCAATAATGACAAGCTGGCTTTAAACCCAGTTAAAACACACTTATCCTTGAGCATACACAAAGGATAGCTAGTATTTAAGACAGAATGTGTGCTCTGTTTAAAATATTGCTGAGAGGGGTGGATCCACAAAAATAAAAGATACCATCAGTCTCTGAAGCAATAAAAGAGAGGGCCTATAAAAACCTACAGTTGTATGCTTATTCTCCACATATACTCACCACATTCTCTATTCTCATGTATTTGACAAAGAACCAAGCTGATTAAAAAAGTTGATGCCACAACCCTTTATATTTGCCACTGAAGAGATATAAAGGCTGGCCTGTGAGATCTGGGGATTTTATGAATAGGTCACAAACCACTGGCATTTTGATCCCTCCAGTCAACCAACCAACCAACACACAAACACAAATGAAAATGGGGGTTTCAACCAACCAGCAGGCCTCAAACAAAAAGGAATGGTCAGCACCTCTAGAAATACATACAGGAAACACCAAGAACTATCCCAAGGTGAAAGCCAATAAAATTGCTTGGGCTTGGTCCATTTCAGAGGCCACACTGAATACAAAGTCTATACCAGAAGCCTGGGCCTGCATAGCCTGCTGTGGTTGCTATTATTTGGGTGAGTGTCAATTGCTGTGCCAGAAGAAGATAAGATGCTTAGGAAAG